AAGATGATACTATTTGGTCAATCCTTTAATTAGGACCTACTGCCAGCATAGAATTTCCGAAGTCTTGAAATTACAATCTTTATTGGGTTGTATTTGAATGAATAGTGTGTCCAACTTTATACTGTAGCTAGACTGGTTTTGATTAAAGGAATGATGTCTAACGTTATTAACTCAACTCTATTCAAGAAAGACTAGTCAAATTTGCATTTTTTGAGCTTGTTTACATTTTAAACAATAGACTATCATATTATATCACATCTGAAGTTCTGAACATTTCAAATTCTTACAAGTCCACAAAGGAGTATGAATAGGCCCAACTCACTCCAACATAACTATGATTCAGAAAACTGATGTTTTACAATAAGGAGTAACTAAGACCTAATCTGATTAGATTTAATTTTTATTACATGAATAATGTTGCTCAGGAGTCACAAACGACTCAATGTGTTAATAAGTGTCTCAGTTTCTTGAGAGAATAAACATGAATATTGACTAGTAAAGCAAAACAAAGTATATAACCTTTTCAATGGCTTTCTCTGCAGCAGATTGTTCGGCATCCTTCTTCCGTTTACAGATGTCAGAGAGAACAGAAAATTCGGGAAGCTCCAGAGTGCAGCTGTAGAGAGAAGGAACTTTCTGCAAAATGCCTAAACCTGCGCTTCCATTTTGACTGCAATCTTGGACTTCCTCTACTTTGTACGTAGCTTTAGCACCAAACCTCTGGTTTATTATAGACTTAGGAGTAGGGGGAGGCTTTTTCGAGACAATGACAGAAGAGTTTTGGGTCCCCATTGTTTCGAAAACACCTAATTGTTTTCACTAATCAACTGCTCATTTGTGTCTCTGAGTATTAACTTCCTGCTAGGCGATAAAAGAAATTGAACCAATCATAACCTGCAAAATAATCAAACATATTCAAGTTCCCCGAGTTTATAGGCAAATTCTACTCGCTAAACGCACGCTTCAAGAACACGAGGCGTAAAGACGAAAAACGGACCCCAAAAAATGAAAAATCAAAGCATGATATCAGCCATGACAGGCCAAAAGAACTGAAAATGATACCGAAGAACCTTAGCTGCAGTCGAGGTGGAGGTTGCGCTTGAGGAATGAATGGCGTAACCCAGTGAGCCGAGGTAATCTCAGAAGAGGAACAGATGTAGTCAACGGTCACTAAGTCGTGAGACCCAAATGAAGGTACACCAAAAAGTGTACCCAAATGTACATCACCTCCTCTCCACCACATATTTTTATTTGATTTTTACTTACTTATTTTTTTTAAATTTTTTTGCCTTTTTTAGTGGACAAGTAGGGGTAGGGGAATTTATAGAAATGGGCAAAAAAAGTTGCCGGGTGTATAGAAGATAAATACGGAGTAATCTTTTTTTTTAAAACTTAAGTTATGCTAAAACATAAAGGAAACGTCTAACACCAGTTACTTATACACCAGTTGCTTACACCAATTCGTTTGGAGTAGTTACGGTGCTCCATTTGTAAAAATGACGGTTTCTACCCCCTTAACACACCCCCAAAACCCCTATCCCAGCCCCCACCCTTGCCCCCCACCCCAGCCCCCCTCCCTACCCTGGCAGTACAGTATACTGCCAGGGTAGGGAGGGGGGGCTGGGGTGGGGGGGCAACGATCGGGCTGGGGTGGGGGGTTTTGGGGTTGGGTTAGGGGTAGAAACCGCCATTTTTACAAACGGAGCACCGTAAGTACTCCAAACGAACTGGTGTAAGCAAATGACACCAGTAGCAATGGTGTCATTTTAGACTTACTCAAACAAAAATATTGTCACATAGATATAAGAGAAATACTATACATCCACATATATAATATAGGTTCAGCCATTAACCTTACTTTAACCTTGTAATATATACCTCTTTTTTTCCTTTTCTTATTTTTTAGTAATTGACTTCCCTCTCTTTTTTACCAATTTCTTGTCCCTCCATCTTCTTCGTTTCTCCCTCTTCTTCTCTTTTCGTTTTCTTCTTCAAGTTCATTTTCAAGTTTCATCCTCCATCTCCAATTGCTCTTTCGTTTCAATCCTTAACTATTGTTGTGTTCATCTCCTCCTGTTGATTATCCTTCCTCTTCAATCGTCCCTCTTTGCCACCACCAATCGTCCCACCATCACAAAGCGACCTCTTCGCCATTAGGTTGCTCGATCAAGGTAATTTTTTTATTTTCCTTACATTTCTATAAAATAGGGTTTTATTTTTTATTAGATTTTTTACTTTTTCTTAACAGTTGAGACAAATGAAAATTGTGTATTAATGTATGTGAATCTGCATGGAAGACTATATTTAAATTCTAAATTCTTAGTCTTGTTCGTTGTCTATATTAGTTGTCTCCATTTAATGTTTGTGAAATTCTTTTATTACTATGTAAATTTTTTTATTTTTTGTATGTGAAATGTTTGTGAATTTTTTTGTTAGTTGTCTCCACTCTCTTCATCGATCTGAAGCCACCCCTAAGTAGTATGTGAAATTTTTTATTCGTATTGTTCGTAGGCAATTTCTGAATGGCTCTACATTTATGGGAGAAGGATTGCTTCCCTGCACATTACTCAGTTTGCTCAGATATCCAATAGGCATTGGATATGATATTTTTGAAGTTGCCCTCAGTGCAATTAAAATCCTTTAAGAAGACACCATTAATATTTTGACGATAAATAAACGCAAAGTTATACACAACATTTTTACACACAAATAAAATGTACGAGAGGCGATGACATCATTAATATTTTGATGACACTCATCATTTATATTTACTTCTACTCCATCCCTCAATAAGCTAAGGAACAAAGTCCCGCTCATCATAACCTCATCGTGCATATTGGGTTGAACATCATCCCTGATCACGTCAATGGACGAAGAACCACCAATCAAAAGCTCACCATCATCTTGTAAAGGAGCTGCAAAATAATTTGCAAGTCAGTAAAAATTAATAGTACTTCATTTTGGTTCTTGCATAGACACATGAGCAATAAACCTCGATATTGTTATGTTCACAGAGAGTCAGTGGTTGTGTGTCCAGGTCCAACAAACACAAAGTTATACATAAATATGCGTACCAGAAGTGATGACATCCTTAACACTTGGCCAACACTTTCCATTTATATTTTCTTTTACTCTTTCATCCCTCAATAAGTCAAGGAACAAAGTACAACTCGTCATAAACGGGGTTGAAACCAAAGTCCAAGTGCACGCGAAGATGGAAGAAGAATCGAAAGGAGAAGATGAAGACACAATCGCAGCCAATGATTGAAGCTAAGAAAACTGGAGTTGGAGGACGAATACAAAAACAAAAAGAAAAGAAGAGGGTTCTTAAACTTCTTCTTGCCTTTTCCTCCTAGAACTAGAAGGACGAAACTCCCCTTTCTTTTAGTAATGATCTCCTCAGTAGTTTGCAGAATCATCAAAACTTCTAGTTGTGGTTTATCGAGCTCATGCATCTCGTAATTAACAACAAACTGCTTGTATAATTCTGGCAAGATTGTACATCAGATCCGTTGCAAGCTCATGTCTAAGTGCAAAACCCAATTTCTCAAAGGTCTCGACATAACCAATCATCTTGAGAACATGCACACCAACGAGGTTTCTAATAGACAACTTGCAACTAAAGAGGGCCTTAGAGATTTGGAATCTCTTATGCCTAGTTTGCCTTTGATAAAGTTGCCTAAGAGGTAGGATCATATCACACGCCTTCATACTATCATGATATTTCTAAAGGTCTGAAGCCATCGTATATAGCATCAGGTAAGCCAGCTTAATGTCATCATCAACATGCTTCTCATAAGCATCCTTAGTAGCTCTAGGAGCATTGGCAGCAAGGGCTGGTGGAATAGCTCGTTCAAGCGCGTACTCCTTTTCGAGTTCAAGAACAATAATAAGGTTTCGTTGCCAGACTAAGAAGTTAGATCCAGTCAACTTGTCTTTGTCGAGGAATTAGCGAAGAGTAAGATTCTGATTGGTATTAGCCATCTACAAATAATTTGCAAGATAGTTACTTATCAAGAATTCTAAAGTAATTATTTAGATCTCTAATTAAAATTCTCCCACTATTTTAACAAATCAACTAGCCTCAAGTACGTAACCTATTGATTTGAGATTTCTCCTAAAGACATATTTTAGTGGGCCAAGATCCAATTGTAATCCAATTATAATCCTTAGTTTGCTAGGTTGTTTTAAATAAGATCAAATATTGGGCCTAGATCCTTATTGTCAAATTTTTTTTATCCTAAACTTATTTTAGAGTTTATAATTTCCCAAAGTTTTATTTGAAAATTTTAGGTTTTTCTATTAAAATAGCAAAGTAAATTTAAAATGCACTCCGTCTTTTTTTTAATATGTTGATTTGGATGAATTGAATTGCTTTGTGTCGGATCAAGTAATTGTGAACGATTTGAATAATTTTACGAAAAATGAAAACTTTTATACTCCCTCCGTTCCAAACTAATCTTTCCAATATAGGCTTAATGGGACTAACAATCCTTGTAAGACATCAACTCATTTTGAATGGCCTCGTAAGACATCAACTCAATTATGACACTTACGGTGCTCCACTCCCAAAATGATAGTTTCCACCCTTTCTAACCCCCATTTTGGGTGGCCATTAAACCCAACCATTCTTCAGCAAGTAAATATGAATAGTTGAAAAATTGGTTGGGTTTCAAAATTGGTAATGAGCTTTTGTTTCATTAGAATACTGTTTGACATTTTTGTCAATCTGCTTCTGTTTATAAATTATGACTTCTGTAGTTTAAAATGAGTTCCAGAAATGCTTTTGAGCAAAATTCAAAATATCTACTTTATGCTTCTATTTAAAACTTCTACTTTTCAATGATCCATCATACTCTCAAACACCCTCTATGTCTCATATTTGAATGTTTAAAACAAAATATAGTGTTTAAACTTTAAAAAACAAACACACACAAACCAAAAATAACCGAGATGGTCCGGTCAAGAGCAGCAGATTGGGAACAAGGAATGAATCCTCAAGATTAACTCTAGTAGGAAAAAATGGTTTTCATGTCCTTATAAAACTGGTTCGGCCACCATTCTTTACATCCTCACTATATGCCTTAGGGTGGCCGTGGAGGGGCACCCAGGATGAGACGAGGGATAGCAAGAAATGTCAAAATTGGCAAAGAGTTGTATCACATACTGGACAATTAAACACTCATGTTCTTATACGGAGTAATTAATTGCAGGGTAGCAAAGTTTATGAGGCAAGGGAAAAGAGTAACTTCAAGCTGCTAAAAAATTTCCTGCTTTGGAGGCAGAATTCAAAGACTAAAAATTATCACCTAATAATGGCAGGTCGATTAGACAGCTGCTTAGATTTGCGCTTATTATTAAATGATCGTTTGAATTTGGGCATTTCTGTTGACAATGCATACATCTTCACGCCAAGTAATCCAGCAGGGAACCCCGTTTGATCCTGAAATAGATCGAGTTTACCATCATATCATAGTAAACTCCACTTCTAAGTAGATAACCCAGTTTTAAACCCGTAAATGCAGATCCACTTTTTGTTACCGCATGATTCAGCTATTTTCCGGTAGAGGAAAAGAAAAAAATTGTTTAATAAGAAATCCTTTTTTAAAATGAAGAGCTATGATACACCTCGAGTAAACATCACCAACAATAACGACGCAATAAATGTACACAGAACTTTTATCCCTATTGAGCAGGGTAGAGATGTTATTTCCGCAAAATGAACCAAAAACTGGTTAGATAATCACTTATTAACGAACCAAAAACCCGGTAAATTCTTAAGTGCAGGCTGGTTGTTGTATGCCACTTTGTTGTGTTTCATAATTGCTTGGTTGTATCTCATTATTGGTGAGTCTATGCTTCATAACATTTAAAATGTGTTCACCTATTCATACTGTGATTTGATTTCGCATGCAACTGTTTAAATGAAAGCTATCAGATTCTGCAGATTGTATCAATCAATATTTTTTTTTGCAGCGTATGACGTAATAGGCAGAACAAATCACAAGAATCGCTTAGCTATTTGACAACCAGCTTCGCACATATCTCAGAAAATTCTTCCCGGACACACATTGAAATGGAGTCAAAGTGTCATAGATTTCAACTACAAAAACTAACTATTTTGACCTAACAGATATGATTTGTGGTTTTCAAATAACAAATATAAACTTAACATCATAAATCATATGAGCATACCTTTGTCTTGTAGAGGTAGAGTCCACATTTAAGAAAGAGCTCCTTGAAATATTTGTCCGACCTGGTGATGCTCTTATCTTTGTTGTCCAAAACAAATCCTTGAAACGGGAAACCCAGCAAGTGGAATGCAGTAAATTTCCATTTTTTTCCCAATTACGAGGCACAAAAAAATTTACAAATATAGAAACACATCTTTTTGGAACAGACAAAAAAGGATGGTTGGAAGGTCTTTTTGAAACAAAGGGAGTATATAACTTGAGTGACTTTTTTTATAATTGCATAAGACTGAGTTTCATTCGATCATAAAGGACTCCATTTTCACAACAAAAAAATATTCTTTTTGGGATGGAGGGAGTACAATATTAACAGCAACATACATAATAAGATCCAAGCTCTGTTGAGGCCTAGGAAACGATTTAGGCAACCTTACGCATATAAACAACATAGAGGAAAGATAAATTTTCTTAAACACCATAGAAAGTAGGAAGAAAGCAAAGTTGTTGGTTCAAGGTATTTACTTACTACATCAAATGGGCAAATTGTAGATAAAAGATAAATTTTCCAAAGTTTAGTTTCATATTAGTAGACTCGAAGTACATATAATACTGAAGAGATTAAATATGATGAAATTATGCATATCATCAAATTTTCATATATCCTGAAAAAGAGTGCTTGCTATTTTCCGTCGGGAACCTTGGTCTCTCTTACCCTCTAGTCCTATTTAGTTAGAAGCATAGTTGTTATGGTGTCGCCTAGGTGTCGTCTAACCAGGCAGATGGTATGGACCAGACGCCAAGTCGGACGCCTCATTCGAGGCCTTCCAGGCCTTGCCTAGGGGTCTATGGTCGCCTCAATCTCGCCAAACCCGACCTGGATCCATCCAGCTTCTTGGAAGCTTAAAAGGTTAAGTTTGACTCGTGTATATATTACTACACTATCTGTCACCCACCATTGCACCACTCCCACATCGCTTTCTCCCCAACATTTGACAGTTGGTGGCCATATCCTCAAACTTAAAAAAAAGTATGATTGCCACATGCTCCCCCCATTCACATTTAATTGACCATTATGACTTTTGTAATACATCTAAAGTTGATGAATGTAGACTTGATGTATGTCTATATTCAATGAATTTTTCATGTATCATAAAAGTCACAATGGCAAGTTAAATGGGAATGGAGGGAGTACTTTCTAACACTACTTCAACAAATGCTGGTGTGCTTACTGCTCGAGTTTATTCACTGTGTTTCTCTGGCTTCATGCGTAACTTTTATCCTATGTCCTTTTACTCCCTCTCAGAAATTCTTCTCTTCCTTCTTATTACTGCATTTCTTTTTTCCATCCTCCTTCCCCACCACTTATTAAGTTATATCTCCAGTTCTCCACAGTACTCTCCAACCAGAGTCATTCCTTTTCCAAACAGTCTCGGCATTCACTCTTCTCCTGCTTCAACTGAGGTTACTGAGGGATTGAAATTGTTATTGAATACATTGTATAGGGCATCCATTCATTATTGTATAGGTGTAGTTAACACAACCCAACCTATGTAGAACACCTAGGGTGCATGAGCTTCTCCCATTGAGTATCAAATATACTAATTCTTCAGGCACCAAATCATTTTTGTTAAACACGAGTGGGGGGTGGGATAATTGGTGTGTAAAGTGGGTTTTGGAATTATTTTTGCAAGATCGAGTAAACAATATACTATTTCTGTCGATTTTGCCTTTCCTTATGATGATGGAGATGGTTGTTGTCTTCATTTAGATCAAGATGAGGATGATGAAGGAAACAGTTGGTTTTAATCTTTATCTCAATTTCAAATCACCACAGTGATAATCCTATTTTTTTCACAATCTAATGATCTTTACACTTTTTTAGATGGGGTAATATTCAACATTATGTGATCCTTGAACTAAATAAATCGATGTGCCTTGTCTTTTTTGGATTTGACCATGAAAATCCTTGAATCAAATTTCATATTTTATCAGATCATCTTGATCATCTTCCCACTTTCTTTTTTGGTCATCCCAAAATAATCTCCTCATTCCTATTAAGGACAAAAAAAATGTGGTTCATATATTTTCTTTCTCCTCTGCACAACGATGAACCATACAATTTCACTTTTTTTAAATTCGTGCTGTTTTCACATTAAATGTTAATTTTGGAACATAAGAAGTGTGATAAGATCTGGATCACTAATAGCATAAGGCCGCGTCAACACCTTAATTAAAATTGAGTTTGTTACTGTTTTAATTAAATCACTACTCATAAAATAAAAGGACTCTCAGGTAGTTAGGGGTCTTGAATCCCTAGGTTAGCTTAGTTTGTTATGATTTTGTTATTTGACCTTATACTACATAGTTTGTTACAGGAATTGGCATGAACATCACAACTTCTCTATTGTTGAGATATCCAGAAAGTGAATTATTGCTCAGTGACATTGAGATTCTTTGGGCTTCTATTCCTTTTCATCTGTTAGATTCTTACCAAGAGAAGGGAATGAGAGTTCTATATAGTTTTAATTTAGATCCTGAACTAAATGTAACAGTTTTCTATCAGAGTCTTATTTGCATTTATTTGTATATAATTTTGTACTAAAAACTAAGCTTACTCATCATCATCCAATGATATTTACACAATACGTTGTAGAGCCAATATGCCTCAGCCCTCAGCTACCAATAAGCCATTACGAACATTGCAAAGTGGATGTGAAAACAAGATTTTTAGGAAAACTCTAGACAGATAAAGGTGATTTTGAGAATCTAGAAAAAGGTCGTTGGCTCGTTGCACGAGGATGGTGGTTATCTTCTTAAGAACAACCAATGTCATGGTCCACTTACATTATGCAAATCTAGTGTATCTTCTTAGATCTTACAAATTGCTAATATGTACTTCTTTTGTTCCAAAATAATTGCAACATTACACTTTCCAATGCATATATTCAATCATTAATGTCTTCAATTATGTTTTAGTGAAATTAATATTATGAAATTTTTATCAAGACGAATCTAAGAAAAGCTCGCATGACCATGTTCTTATTTTATGATAAATCAGGAAAATGATCAAAAGAGATATTGTGAATAGACCCGTGAAATTTTGTCCATTGTGATCATTCTTGAATGGAGCTAGTATGTAGGAGTGAATCACACCCTAGTGCATATCATGATAGTATCCTCAATAAAAATGTTTAAAGGAATGTTAGGGAAGTGAAGAATATTCCTTTCTTTTAATCATTTTCTTAGTTATCTTATAATGACTGGTTGGAGTGTTATCCTAATGTAAACTTCTATGGCATCCCTCTATGGCCAAAAGATTCCTTGTCTATCAATTAATTTACAGATTAGGAGAAAACACTACTTTAGGATATGAATTGGAGCAACAATTAACTGTAGTTTCTGGGTGTGGCATGCATAGAATGAAGCATGTAACAGAAAAAAAAGTGGCCACTAACCCACTATAGGAGTAAAATCACATTACCGGCTACCGCGAATATAAATCTACTCACAAACAATTAAACATATATTTGACTTTCATACTAGTTACAAAAAACTGTAAGACAACAGAAAATGAAAGCAAGAGTTCAAGATTGCTACCTTGTCTAGCTATGTTTTCCTTCAAAATGAAAAGACCACCAGGTTTAAGGCCAGTCTGAAAGAAACATATGTCAGTAAATATTTTATCACTAAAACTCAGTTTTATTTTACAAAGAAAAGCAACTTCACATTCCTCTACACTTTTCAGAAAAGTGATAGAAAAAACAAATGGCATCTCTAGGTCATTTTTAACATACGTGTATGACTCTTTGAAATTCCATCCATTGTCAATGAAGCTAAAAGAGTCATTTCTTAACAATGAGTTAGCTTTGGGTAAATAATGGTCTAAATGAAAATGACACATTACGCCTCCCTTGTTTCTTTATGTCTATGAAGTTTTGGCTTGTAAATAAAGCGATGCAGCAAGGGTCTAAAGCAAACAGCCTTTCTGTTTTTACAGGAGTATGGTTCCATACATTTTGAGCCAACAAGATCCAGACAGAGTTGGGTTTATACTGGGTTTGCTTCCTTGACTCTTTGAAATTTGAAATGATAATTTAATAGAAAATCACATGTTATGGGTTATGTATTAAGGCTTGAAGAAAGCATAATCATAAAACAACTGAATAAGTAGGCTCTTCAAATGAAGGCTTAAATTGGTAGACAAGAGTGTGCCAAAATAGAGCAAGTTTAAGTTTTGTTTTGCATGATTGTATTAGGAACTACGATGTCATTTTAGAGATGCATAGGCCATCTTATACAACTTATCATATTTATAAAAACCAGACAACTTTTCAACACGATCAATACATTTAGTCAATAGGTCACTAGTTGAGCTTGTGGATCAATGGTTGAACCGCATGTCTCCATGAAATAGTGCATTAATAAATACTCCCCATCTCCCCCCATCCGCCAAAGATGTCTTATTTTTGACTTTTAACAGTTTATATTAAAGATAAATTTGTCTTTTGGAAGACATCCAGTTGTTCGGGGGCCAAAAGTTTTTAATGTGTCTAAGGTGTTGGTTTCAATTCTCATTTGGGTGCAAAATTTCACTCACCACCATACATGGATGGTGAAACAATAAGGCCCAAGAGAATGTTGAAGCCAAAACAAGATGCTTGTGAAAAGCAAAAGAGGGCAGATATATCAAGGCGTCCCTTAGGCGTCTGGGCGGTTTAATGGACTCGCCTAATGGACGCCTTGCCTGAAAACACCTAAGGCAATGAGGTGCTCGCCTCGCCTTAGCCACGTCTCTCGCCTAATCTCGCCTGAGAACACCTGAGGCGACGAGGAGCTCTTTTCTTAAAAAAGTAACATGTCTGATCGTTCTCTCTCTCTCTCTATATATATATACACACACACACACACACAAACACACATATATATACACACACACACACATACATATAATATTGCCATATTGTACTCGCTATATGGACGTCTAGGCAGACACCAAACCGCCCTGGCAACTAGAAGGTACTCTAGTGCCCAGCCTTGCCTAGCCGCCGTAAAAACTATGATAGAGGGAGATGAAAAGGGTGAACTTTGAGAGGTGTAACGGTGAGAGGAGTAAAGTTAATGGTTAAAGCGGCAAAGACTGCGGCTTTTGGGCAGATGTACAAGGATGTGGAAGAGAAAGGAGGTGAGAAGAGGTTGTTTTGGTTAACAAATATGAGAGAACAAAAAACTCTCAATCATGATCAAGTGAGATGCATTAATGATGATGACTTCATGAGGGTAAAGGTTCGGTAAAAAAGCAAGAGACATTAAGCATAGACGGGAGTCATAGTTTCAAAGACTATTAGGCGCAACATATGGATGAAGTTTTGAGTTGGGAGATTTAGAACGCTTTGAGAGCCACCACGGTCTTCACTACGATAGGTGTTATAGACTTGGGAAGGTAGAGGAAGCTATTAACATGATGATGAAGGAGAAAGTGCTTGATTCAGAAAGAGGTAATGTGTTTAATGTAATCTCCAACAACAACAACAACCCAGTAGAATCCTCACCCCTACTAAAAGTAGAGAGCCGTTTCCAAGCGACCACCAGTTCAAGCAACACAAAGAACAACTAGTACAACAAAAACACAACACAACAAGAGCCCAATCAGCAAAAGGGAAGAAAAATAGCGCCCAACAAATGACTAACCAACAACCCTAGTTCTAGATCTCCAAACGTTCCTATCTAAGGTCATCTATGTAGCAAACAAACGAAGATGGGGACAAGACGAAACGGAGATGCTAAGACGGCTATTTAATAAAACGAGGAGACAAAACGCCAAGGAGACAACACACACACACACACACATATATATTCTCTTTCTATCCCACATACGTTTTTCCACTTTTCTTGTGAGATGTTGAAGTATTTTATTTGGGTCATGTATATCTAACATTGGGAAAGAAACTCAAGAATTAAATTTGAGGCCCACATTGGGAAAGAAGCCTAAAAATTAGATCCGGGAAGTGGCCATATATAATAAGCAAAGTAGGAAAAAGAAAAATACCCTAGCAAGCCACAGAAGTTGAGAATTTTTGGGAGATGATCGATTCTGCAAGATGGACTCTTTTCTTCTCTTTTTTTGACTTTCTCTTCTTTCCCACTTTTTCCTCTTTCTGATTCAACTAGGTCCGACTCTTTCTCTTCTTTCCGATTATATCGTCTCCCTCATCGGTGTCGTCCAAGCCGTTTCGGAAATGGGAGATGTGTCTCCCCGGCGTCTCCCTGGCAGCATTTATTTAAATTTTAGTTTAAAGAAACGCCACATGGAGTTTCCGAGATGTCTTCCATGCGTTTCCGTGTGTCCGAGGTCTCCGATACGGATAGGGCAGGCTACCTGGCCGTGCAACATAAAAGGTCATATCCTTGGTGAGAGCTAGTAGTCCTAAGTCCTGCGTAATAACCCACCTAGTATCGAAAGCCTCACACATCTCTGCACTGCAGCCTCTGGTTCACACCTCTTCACGTGATCGAACCATCTCAAGTGGAAGCAAAGCACAATGGTTTGTTTCGTACAGGGGTCAAAGGTGACATTCAAAATTGCAAAACTTTAAGGGCATCAAGCCATTCAACCATAGTACCACACTATGCAAGTTTGGGAGTGGGTAGTGGAGAAGAGAATGAGATTTGCCAGTACCGTATATTACAGCTATAAAATACATGTACAATGAAGCCAAGGCTAAAGTGAGGACCTTTCGAGGAGACTTGGATCACGACCCCGGTGGAGATGGGCTCCACTACATCTGCCTTTAGCCCTTTTTTATTCACCACGGTGATGGATGTACTGACTCGACTTATCCAGGGGAACTACCATGGTGCATGTTAGTTAATTGATGAGTCCCATGGAGGAGTTACAACAACAACCCAATAATTCTTACAAAAAGTACGGTCTCGAGAGGGTGTGTACATAGACCTTACCCTTACGCAGAGGTAGAGAGGTTTCCAGGAGACCCCCAACTCAAACGAGGAGTTAATGATAGATTAGAGGTTTGGAGAGATTGAAGCCATGAAGGTGATTTTGCCCTTCATATCAAGCGGGGTGGATGAAGTGGAGTTGCACTTGCCTTATTGCTAACTGGATGAAGAAGTGCTTCGGCTGGTCATGGTCTATGGAATAGAGTGTTGGGCAATAGAAAATGCTAGCATGGAGAAGTTGAGGGTTGTGGAGATGATGATGCTTAGGTAGATGTGTGTTCATATTGGGAAGAATATGATTAGGGACAATGATATGCAGTCTAAGGATAAGATGCATGAATTAAGGTTGAGGTGGTTTGGGCATGTAAGAGGACTATGGGTGTACATGTTAGCAGGTCTAAGAGGTTGACCTTAGAGAATTTTAAGAGAGGTAGATCGATGAAAAGATGGAGTGAGGTGATTAGAAGAGAATTGAGGCTGGTGTAACTCACCATGATATGACCTTAGATAGTAGAGTATAGAGGTCAAGTATTAGAGTTGTTGATTAAGGGGATGTTTCTCTGTGCTGGTGATTATTGCTGATAAGCCATTTTTAAATTATAAGCTGCTTATAAGTCGAATATTCTTTCGTGGAAGTAAAATGACTTAAACGATAGATAAATCATTTGTGGATATTCATAAATGATGAGGGACAGCTTTACAAATAATCTGTTCAAAACGGGGAAAAGAAAAAACCAGCTTAAAAATAAGAAGCTAAGACCTACTTAATTTTTTGGCTTATAACCAGCTTATAAGCACACAGAAACATGTTATCAAGTGACTTATAAGTTAAAAATTTCGTATAAGCAGTTTTGACCAGCTTATAAGTACAAAGAAACACCCACTAAGTGAGTTTTCATGTGGGTCCATCTTGTGCTTTGGATAGTGCAAACTGCGAGGTTCCTCGGGGTAGCTAGTCTTTGTGCGGTGCTTTTATTGTTTCTTTTGCTTGGTGTTTGATCATTACCCCTTTTCTTGTTCTCAACTATATTTTAGCTTTGCTTTATTTATGGAATTGGTCTAAAGTACTCCCTCTGTCCCGAATTAATCTTCTCACTTCACTACTCACATGTCAAACTTTTTCCTTTCTTCACTTGTTTTTGTTAATCATTTGTTAGAATAACATAGTCATAGCACCACTTTTTTTATAGAAAATCCGATGTAGTTTTTAAATATACAATTTTAATTTGAAATTTATTTAAATAAATTGGATTAAAAATGAACTTCATAAAGTCTTATTATGCATAAAGTAACAATTTATTTGAGTTGGATGGAGTCTTTCCTTTGTTTTTATGAGCGGGTCCTTTGGAAATAGCTTATCCACCCTCTGACCCTCACCATCCTCTATATTTGGGGGTAATACATCTACCCTCCTTATACTCTTCTTGTGGGGCCACACAGGGCTTGTTGTTGTTACTTCACCTCTTGTGTAAGTGTAACTCTCTCAACCCAACAAGTTGTCGATTCTACCTAGTTACGCTCTAAGTTGATTATGTCAACCGAAATATAGTGCAATTCCGATCTGTTCGAAATAATCAGACTGGCTAAGTTCTGGTCTTCAAAGTTGTGGTCTTCAGTCTGAATTCAATAACACTGTTTCTTATCCTTGAACATTTTCTACTTTTCCTTGAGAGAGTCCTAAAACAAGACCATAAAGGACATGAAGTTTTCTTATTACTCCCTTGTCCCAAAAATATGTGTCCAATTAGACTGGGCATGGTCAATGTTTAATAAAGTGAAAACTATCGTTCAAATTTATGCACATGATAAAGGGACACTGAAAACAAGTAAAATCCTCCAAACGGTAGGATCTAGGGAGAGTGCATGTGTGTATGCAGACCTTACCCAAACTTGGTAAAACGGAGGCTTTTTCAATAGATAGACACTGAGAACCAAAAAATTTTCAAATACAGAAACAATCACATCTTTTTTTAATAGGCTAAAAAGCAAAATAGACAAGTTTCTTTGGGAGTGACATTAATTGGCATTATAGTCTCTCTTTCTTTCGACTTTGAGCTAAGGACATCTGAGTCATTTTTTTCCGTTCTCCTATATAATCAATCCACCTCAAACAGCCTAATAGTTTCATGATTGCCAAATCCACAAAAACAAAATTCAAAATATAATTTAAACCCATGGCAGGCAGTAGGTAAAAAAGAATTTTAATTTCATTTTCTATATAAAAAAAACATAAATTCCGGTTCTGCTTTATCATACAGGAATAAACTTTCATAACAATCGGCTTGATTTTATGCAAGTCACAGGATTTCCTTACCCTTGCTCTTTTGAAAAATGCAATGAAGTCATCATCAGCAAGTTGGCTAATACACCATTGTATCCATATCACATCATATCTCCCTGCATCTGGAGTGAAGTCCTAAAGGAAGCCAATGTACCAAGAGAAAATTTAGTAGCAAGTCATCCCAACACTATACTCATAAATCATAATATCATGTCAAATTCAAATGTCCAGTAACACATCTTTGGTTCATATTAACAAAACTGCATAGATGTAAGTTTCGTCATATCCTAGTTTCCTCAAAATAGATTTTAAGCGATAATTGTCAAAGAGGCCATCCTACCCTGTGATGTGTTGTCTGATTGGTAGCAAAGGAATAACCAGAGTACGCAACTAACATTTTTGAAGTTTGTTAGTCCGCTTGACAAGCTTACAACAACTAGCATAGTATGTTCAAGGGCTGGAAGTCTATCATCAATAATAAGGAACATGCATTGGGGAGAGTATGGGTGGTTTGAAATCCAAATAAGTATATTATTGAAACTGTTAAGGTGAGTAGGTGACTGATCACTTAATTCACTGTTGGGGAAGAAAAATTGGTAGAAGTGATAAGTTTCATCTTACTTTTCTGTATGGTCATAATGGGGCTAACAAGAGAAAAGGACTATGGGATGACTTAAGAAGGATCTCCAATTACATGACTGATCTATGGTGTGTTATTGGGGGCGGGGATTTCAACAATGCTCTTAACTTAAATGATAGAATAGGGGGACAACCTGTTACCATGGAGGAAATCCAAGATTTTAGAGTGTCTGGATGATTGTGAATTGGAAGATTTACCAATGGAGGAAGAACTTTATACCTTGTCTAACAGACAAGGGCAAGTAAGAACAGACTTGTGGAAAGCATCACTGTGAAAATTTCCTCTTGGGTTACTAAAAGCTTGTCTTTGCTGCAAGAACCAGATTGGTAAATTCTGTACTGGGTGGAATAATAAGCTTCTGGTACAGGATGTTTATTATCCCAGGAAATGTGATGAAGCAAGTGCAATCATTATGTAGAAACTACCTGTGGGGATCTACTATTATGTATTAGTGCCTTAGAGGTGCCCTTTGCTTAAATGGGACGAGGTCTACTTGCCAAAGACTAGTGGAGGTCTTGGCATCAAGAATATTATCCAGTGAAATAGTGCATGCATTATGAAGATGTGTTGGAATATTGCTAACAAAAAAGACTATCTAGGGATAAAATGGATCCATAGTAGGTATATTCAAAATGGGAAAATTTGGGAATACTCTCCTAGACCTGATTGTTGTCATTACTGGAAAAAGCTTTTTAGTAATAGAAAATGGTTTGACGACATGCCCAGGAAAGAAGATTACACAGTGGAGAAGGGTTATAACTTGCTCATTGAAGATAGACCAAAACCTACCGGGGTGAAGCTGGTTTGGAACAAGAATGGTTTACCAAAACATCAATACATTATGTAAATGATAGTCAAAGGTAGAATACAAAATAATGAGAGAATTAATAAATTCTACCTAGTAGATACCACTTGCTTGTTGTGTAAAATTGAAGTGTAAGAGGTAAACCATCTGTTCTGCAGGTGTACTTTTACTGTGAAAGTTAAAGATGAGGTTGCTGGAAGGTTTGGATACTATATGAGGGGGGGGGGGNGTGTTAGAAGAAGCGCATACCCACGGGACAATGTATCTAACAATGCTTATTTTTATTTTGAAAAGATTGGGATTAAACTAGCACGGCTATAAGAATAAACACGTCAAATTCATGGTACAACAATAAACTTCTTCAAACATAGCCTCTTGGTTTGGCATAGATAACTACATATGTATCTTTTATATATTATGTATTTGCTTCTTGTGCCATTCATTCAATTAAGAAAGACTTGTACTCTATCTGTCCCACAAATAACTTCACATTTACCTTATTTGGATGTCCCAAATAAAAGTTCACACTTCTACTTCTTCCTTAACAGATAAGAAATATGTGGCCCACAAAATTTCTCTCTTCTAAACAAATTTCACTCACATACGTTTTTTTGAACTCCATAAAGTCAGACACTGAAGTTCTTTTCAGGACGGAGGGGGTATTTTTTATATGGAGCATGTTGTATGTAATAGCATCTTGTTCCTTTCATTAAATTTAGAATCACTTAAAGCCTCAAATTCAAAAAAAATCACAAGTTCATTATATAATGATATATGACAGGTATAGATAGAACGAATCAATGAAAGTTATTTTGTACCAATATACAACAAGTATTAAAATAAACCTGAAGTGGTACACAAATAAAATTGGCAGCTTTGTGCATATCAGGCGCTATTAAATTTTCAGGGGCCAAACTCACACGCGCAGCCTCCAAAAAATGGGGAACAGGTTCAAGAAGGTCAACCTGGATAAAAAACACTCATGTTTAGATTACTTGCATTGTTAAGGATGAATTAATCATTATCGGCATGATTTTCTTGCAAACATGCACAATAGACTAGTGGCTTAACATGCATCATGTTGAAATAAAGTTTGTCTTTAAGCATTTCCCATATGGGCAAGGCCATGACTCTAAGAGCATCCCTACTCATTCTTCCCTATTCCCTTCAAACATCATCTGCTTCTAATACCACGTCACTTTCCCCTTCAATTTTCCCCACCTCGCTCTAATCATTCCTCTATTTTTTTCATTCTCTTTTCTGAGGTGCATCTCCCCATTGGTGCAAAGAAAAAACTAAAAATGCAATGAACCGATCAATTATTTTCTCTCAAGGGAATAATATTCCCCCATGTTCTTTTCACTCATATACTCCTCACCCCTCTCTAGTCATTCCTCTCCTCTTTTCCCCTCCACATCATCATATTCCCCTCTACTATTCCCCCCATTAAGGAAGCTCTAGGTATTTCCAACATGTGTGGAGTCTTTTGACATGCCCTATATATGCCTAGGAAGTAGGAATATGTGTGTGTGTGTGATGTGCCTCTGGTAGTGTGTGCGTAGTGAGAAGTAAGATTTGAAATAAAGTCTAGTTATTCAACATGGTATCATAGTCGGAAGACTTGACCATGAATTTGTTTCTGGTTACTCATGCAATTCTTCACCTCCTGGATACTACTGGGTGACTTCCACAAGACCACCACATATCGCCTTCCTCCAATCGATCTTGCAGCCACATGCTCCACAGAAAATTATTTGAACCATTCATTCTCGTACTCTCTTGTAGTCTAATAGTAGAAACGTTGTCCCTATCTGCCTTTTCCGGTCACTATGGTTGAAGGAGAAAATTCAAATAGTACAAGACCCCAACCCAAACTTCAGGTGATGTAGGCACTACAACTAATATGATCATCCCTAATCTCATTGATAATCAAGTTAACAGATCACAATATGTAATTGGGCCATTAAATTATCAATGTTGATATGTGGTTGTTGAGATTTGGATTGGAAGACGAATGTTATATCATCTTAAGTGAATTTTGAAAGATATTTTTAGAACAGAGAAATTATGTTAGGACAAAATTGATGCTCTGTTATGTAGTCTTCTTTGGCAATCCCTCTCTATGGAAGTTGTGCCACTTTTCCTCTCCTCAAAGATATCACATGCTAACGTATATTGAGTGTACGCTTTCTTTAAGTAGAGAATGCTCTAAATTCTTCAGAGTAACAACTCCAACACGAGATGCACAACCCGGCCAATTAAGACAAAGCAATAAATATGAGAATACCAATGCACACCATGAGATGGGCAGGCCAACCCATATTGAAGTCTAACTACGAACATTATAACTGCAACAAGCCAACAACTTAAATATACGGTTTTGGAGCTAAATTACCGCGACTATTGGCACCCAATGGATACACGTTGAGGGATTTACAATTTAGATTGTACTCATTCCATATACTAGACTTTTGTGAGCCCAGTATTGTTATTAATTGTCCCTGCCTTCTCATATCATGATTGGATAACTTGAGTGCACAATACCTTCCTTGGACATGGTGGATGTTTCTCGGACTTCCTCTCTTCAATTGAACCCTAAATCTCTGTCACTCGTCACAACTGTTGTAGGCCACTATCCTACACAAAAGGTGATAGGGCAAAGATTTGAATGATGCGTGGTCGACACTATGGCAGGTTCGAGCCAAGCTGAGTCAATATACACTAAATCTCCAATGATAGCTCTCTTTTTATACACTCGCTTAAAGCCTTATTATCTCAAAAAAGGAAGTAAGGAGTTTTATGTCAGAAAGCAGAAATCTTAAGGTTTGATAATTGAACAAACTCATGCCAAATAGTGCCACGCCTGCTGAACCAATTTCCTTTAACAAAAAATTGTGGTGGCTTTCTATTAAAACATGGTTCAAAGTTTGAAGCAACTTGTAAGTTGATGGGATTTAGGATGGGGTAAGGATTATTAGACTAGGTCATAAGACACTTGAGTTGAACCACATTAAAAGATTGAATCCAATCAATTACTAGGTTCAACTCAAGAGCTTATATACCGATTTATTTTCTCATCAAGTTCCGATGTGGGATACTTTAACATAAGTAGATGCTTGAGAGTAGCCAAGTACTGGACACGACTTAGCTTTATCAATGGTAATTATAGGTAACTTCTATCTAAGGCAAAATTTCTTCCTTAACTTCTATCTAAGTTGAAATTGCTTTGGTAACAGACAGAACATTCTCCCCTTGTTATCTCATCTGAGAGGATGATGTCGAAGAAAAGGTACATCTGCAATAAACATGCCATTCTTTTGTGAGATTTGTGAAAGGACTTGGCATATAAAAGAACAATGTTGAAACTTGCATGGGAAACCAACCACTACAAATCCAGTTCATAGCTTAAGAATGCCTCATTTTCTTAATCTATGTAACATACAAGGTCATACATGTGACTGGTGTTGGAATTTGCAAAAAAAGAACAAACATAGCAAGTGTTGCCCAATATCAGGGATATGTTCAAGTCATGCCAGAGACTCGGGCTCTACTGTTATCTCAAAGGAAGAGTATGAGCTTAAGTGTGCAATACATTCAATTAAACTTGAGAGAGTTGTGTGGTTGCACTTTCTTCACAATCAAACAGTGTGTTGTGTTCATTGTGGAACTATCTACAATGAATGAAGAAGATTGGAGTGGAGTGTGAATCTAACTCAAGAGTCGAGTTTCTCAAGTCCAAGTAAACTATTTAATTCATATGGCAAGTATAAGTCTAAGTTTGGCATACATATATATATAAATATATATATATATACACACACACACATACATACATACATATATATATATATATATACATACATACATACATATATATACACACATATATATACACATATACACACACACACACATATATATACATACATATATATAGAGGTCGCCTAGGCATGCCGCGTGCGCCTAGTCGCCTAGGCGATATGAAGGTACATTGGCGCCTTGGCGCCTTACAAACTATGATTCAATCTCATCAAATGTAGCATGTTTACTTCTGACTACCTTTCTGCTTTCAAAGTCTCAAAGCTGGTAGCCCATCTTGTCCGACCCATAGCCAATAAGGGTGTACTTCGTGGCCTTTGCATCTAACTTATCACCATCTTGATCCAAATCATAAGCATTGCACCCGAAAACTTTTAGGTGCTTATAATGGACAGCTTTACCCTTCCATTCTTCTTGAGGTACTTTGAAACCAAACGGAGCCAAAAGTGATCGGTTGATAAGGTAGGCAGCGGTATTAATTGTGTTTGCCCAAAACATCTTCAGGAGCCCTGCATTTATTCTCATACTTCAGGCTCTCTCGTTTTGAATTCTATTCATCCTTTATGCAACTCCATTTTGTTGAGGAGTGCATGGAAGAGTCTTCATCATTTAGATGCCTCATTCAGCACAATAGTTGATGAAAGTTGTGCTAATGTACTCCCATGCATTGTCCGATTTCAAGCATTTAACCTTAAGACCACTTTCAAGTTCAATGGCAGTTTTCCATTTCTTAAAAACATCAAATACTGCGAATTTACTTGTAAGAAAATAAACCCATACCGTGCAAGTGGCGTCGTCTACGAAAGTCACATAGAATCTCGAGCCTCCCAAGGATTCAACTCGCGTTGGACCAAAAACATTTGAATGAATAAGCTCTAACTTCTAAGCTTTAGGTACTCTCCCTGTCTTTGCAAAAGATGCCCTCTTTTTCTATCCATAAAGGCATAAACACAAGGTTCACGAAATTCGGATTCAACTTTCTTTCAGTCTGGAAGCTTTCCTCTAGCGACAAGCATTTTCATCTCCTTTTCACTCATATGACATATGGTCGAGTCATTGACGCCACAACTTGGATAGACTCGGCCCACTGGTACCATTCTTGTCAAGTCGTCGCCTAGGCCACGATTAGTCGCCAACTAGTCGTCCGGGCGGTTTTGGGATGGCGCTTTGCTCTTCGATTAGCGCCTAGGGCAGACTAGGCGATAAAGCGTGCAAAGCGACACTCAGGCGCGCGTAGGCGACGCCGCCTAGTAGGTGAATGAAATTGCCCAATTCGACCTAACCCAAGTTGACCCGACCCGACTCAAACTTCATTAATTTTTAAAATTTCCGATAAAACATGGCCTCCTTCGAAGCAATCCATCCAATCGACAGTCAATCCAGGGTCGCGACTCTCCTCCATCAGCAACATCTTCCAGTTCCAGCAGTTCCATCTACATCTTCTCACGCTCTCAACTCCATGCGTAAGATTTCTCAATGTTTACTTTGTAACACTAAAGTATACTCTTTATTTGATTTAATTTTCATTGATTTGGTTCATTAAACTATAAAGTATACTATACTTTAAAATTTTCAGTTTTCTTCTGTTTTCTTAATATTTCAGATTGTTTTTTTCTGATTTCAGTTAATATTTTGGTTATTTTTCTTATATTCTAGTATTTTAAGGGTTCTAGACTATAGTATATTCTTGATTTGATGTAAATTTCTTTAATTTGGTTCATTAAACTAAAAAAGTATACAATAAATTTTTTAAATTTTTTTGGTTTTCTTAATATTTCAGATTGTTTGGTTCTGATTTTAGTTAATATTGTGGTTTTGTTTGTCTTATTTTAGTATTTTAAGGGTCTTAGGCTCTTGTTTTTGTACAGTTGCTGGAATGTCATATTCATCAACTTAATTTAATATATATTTCAGAACAAATGGGAAATAATAATATTCATCAACTTAATTTAATATTTATTTCAGTTGCTGGATATTTGTTTGTTATGTACTCTTTGTTAAGTGACTTTATGTGCTATCTTTAAACATAAGTTTGCTTTGGTTATGATATTTTATGTTGCTGGATATTTGTCTCCTCCAAATTTTCGATTGTCTACAAGTGTGGGCCAAGTTGGGCCGATGACTACAAATCACCAATTGTCATTTGTAAACCATTGTTGCTCAAAAGGTTAAAAACGATTATACAAGATAGAAGGTACTGGATTACCTGGTGTCGCAATGAAAATTAAAACGAAACAAGTTAGGAAACTCAACTACAGTCTTCATGATCTGACACTTGACAATTTTTATCCTAAAGACCATATCCCTATGCTCAAAATACATTCCAAAATGAAAATTTTACACTCTTCTCTCCCCAAGTTAGTATTTTAGGAGTAGCATTTGCAGAATGCAACTATATTACAATTTATGCTGACATTATGTTAACCACTCATCCCTTTGGTTTGTCATTGCAGTGAAGGAAAAAGTTGGCACTCATCACTATGGTTTGTCATTTCAATTCCCCTTGGGAAGGATTTTGTTTATCTATGTTTCAATTAAAAAAACAATCTTATATTTCTACATCCACGCTGCATAATCATATTCCCCCTCATTCTCATGTCTTGGAATTACTAGGGAGACTTAAACATTAACCATTGTCATCAACAACCTTTTGAAATCTAATGAGCCCATTTATGGAAAAGCCAGCCAACATTTTATATTCATAATAGGAAATTTTTTAAAAAAACATAGGTTACTCCACTCACCCCTACAAAAAACTTTTGAAAATTTAATCACGACATACATCAAAAAGCAGCAGATTTTTATTGAAAAAAGAAAATCAAAACAAAAATGAATGTTACTTCACTCACCCTACACCCCTACGAAAGAAATTTGTGGATTACAGATTTCAGGAGTTAGACTTTTCAATATTGGGTTTAGACTTTAGAGAGAAAGACATATTGAGATGTTGTAATACAATCTTACATTCTTAATATTAAGAGGGACATGAAAGAAAGTATGAAATTAGCAAGTCAAAGAAGGGTAAGCCCATTTCAAATGATCAGTCATCTTTCAAACCCTCTACGTTAGATTTCAGAACCCCACTTGACCAAATGTTTTCTCCAACCAAATTCATCCCTTTGTCCCTTCAGGGATCCTGAGAAACCTCTCATCTAAATGGATTATTATAAAGGAAACAAACATATCAAACACTATGAGGGGGCCAAAAATTGGGTGTGGGTGTTAACTGTTAAGAATATGGTTAGGCTAAATTCAACCCTGTAAGAGTTCTCAAGAAATGATGACTGTCCATCGCTTATAAGAGGCTTATTTTATCATATTTAACTGCTGTGGAAACACTTCAACACAAGTCTTTAGAAGAACATGGCATGTGGAACATTTTATAAGGGACGAAAGGTATTGAACTTTACTTAGCCAACTCGCGACATGTTTGATCTTGATAAGTCGATCAATGTCATGTTATCATAAAGGAAGAGGCAAAAATCGCTAAATGTGTACCTCATTGAAATGGCGTAAAAGTAGATTTTTGGTGACCCTTCCAATTCCAGAGCCACAATCTGTAGAATTGTACAGTTTTGTAAGGTTAAGAAACAAACATAGGTTTTAACAAAGTTACCTTCTTTTTGGAATTTAAAATTATCCGTTCTGAATTTACAATTATTGCCTTTTATCGGTTCAGCGCTCTAGCACGATAAAATGATAGTTGACCCCCCTACATCTGTATAAGATATTCAAGAATGCTTCTGGAAAGTTATTTGTTGACAGTAAAATCAGTACCGGTACCAGATTACTCATCATTAACCATACACAGATTTGACAAACCTATTATAGAGTACTATGTATGAATATACAGAGTAAATAATTAAATAGTCAGCAAAAGCCAAAAACTACCCAGAGCTACGAGGTGGGAAGACGGTCTTGAGACGTCCCTCTGGGTTGGGAACCTTTCAGCCAAAATGGAATTGAGAAATGCATGGCTTGCAGCTATGTCGGCATCATTCACATCCGCATAACCGCCCAGCACTCCATCAATGGTGGCTTCAACCTTCTGCTAATTATCAGTAAACATTATAGTGGAATTTGCGAGCAAATTTAAGGAGCATATAGATAGAGAGGGAGAAGTGGAGAGAGAATTGCCTCCCAATAACGAATCGCGGAGCCGTACCACTGGGACTTGCTTCCATCCTCTCCTGTCTCTACTCTCCACATTTCATCTGCATTTCTGAACTCGCGCCCCTCCGAGTCATGCCCGCCGACATCCATGAGGTAGCGATTTATGTTCTTGTTTTTACAACGATTCGGTCTCTCCCTATTTCTGCTTCCTTCCTAGCAGACGGCAAGAGTTGCCGCCATCTGTGTATATCAGACTCCAAGGCGAGGTGAAAGATATGCGGCAGCGCAACCCCATCCTGCAGCGGGAAGGTATATGGTACAGGCTCATGTACATAGCATGTGGTATTAATCCTCACACTTTTATTTTATACAATTATAATATTCATCTACAAATAATATTTATTTCGTACTCATTCTGTATTCCAGAAAACTGCTCCTGGTTATCCCATATTTTGAGAAACTAACTGCCAGGTACCTCACATTTTCAAAATATACTCCGAGGTACCTTCTATTTTGAGAAACTAACTATCGGGTACCTCACATTTTTAAAATATACTCCGAGGTACCCTCTATTTTGAGAAATTAACTATCGGGTACCTCACATTTTTAAAATATATTTCAGGATACCTCCAAATATACATTAATTTTACGCCATTAATTTTAAGAAATAGGGGTTTGGAATTTTAAAAAGAACCAAGATCTTTTTAATTTGAAGAAAATTGTACTCAATACTTTTAAAATTGAGTACTCAATTTTCTTCAAATTAAAAAGATCTTGGTTTTTTTTAAAATTCCAAACCCCTATTTCTTAAAATTAATGGCGTAAAATTAATGTATATTTGGAGGTATCTTGGAGTATATTTTAAAAATGTGAGGTACCCGATAGTTAGTTTCTCAAAATAGAGGGTACTTTGGAGTATATTTTAAAAATGTGAGGTACCCGATAGTTAGTTTCTTAAAATAGAAGGTACCTCGGTGTATATTTTGAAAATATGAGGTACCCGGCAGTTAGTTTCTCAAAATATGGGGTACCCAAGAGTAGTTTTCTGTATTCTTACGGGAATTTAAATGGTACATCCAGCTGTACCTTTCTTTAAGTACAGCCTGGTATTTTTGTAAATTTTGTAAACTTTTTATCCAATGCCCAGAACATATATGAGAACTATTATATATGACAATGAGTACCAGCAGATTTGAGGAGTACTAGCACTTATGACAATTATCATATTCTTATTCAATACAAACATGAATAAACCTGGATTTTAAATTCTCCGTGCTCAGGAGTATAAATGAGTAGAAATGAATCGAATAGAGGAAGAAGTTAATGATGGTACTAAACTTTTTAATTGTGAAAAAATTGAACAATACTTTATTTCAGAATGAATATTTCTTTATTTGAGAATGAGTATTGTTTTTTAAAGAATGAACACTACGCTATTTATTATAATTATATTAGACAAATGTGTAAAAATGAGTACTTTATTTTAAAATGAGTACTACTTTTGTCAGAACTAGACTCGTACCCGTGCGATGCACGGACTATTAGTTGACATATAATTACTTAATGTTTCGAATAAAGAAAGGTGTTACAAAAACCTGAATGATTATATAAATTGAAAAAATAGAAAAAAGAAGGAGAGTTTTGGAAGTGTTATAAGTTTTGAAATATTATTTTATAAACTACATTCGTTATTTTGTTACATGACGGAAGATCTTTATTGCAAATCAAAATCTTTAACACTTTCCATGCATCGTACAGTAAGAATATTTAAATATATGTATTGGACTATAAAATTATTTTAAATATTTATTCAATACTCATTATGTCCTAATTTTACGATCCGTTTTTTTGGATATATTTCTTAAGATCAATAATAATTACATTTTGAAGCATGATATAGGCTTATATAAAATAAAAATTTTAATTGTAGTCATTATAATATTGGAAACTTAAAAAAAATAAAAAAGGAAGTCTATTCTAGGGCGAAGAGAGACTCAAAATCATTTAATAAAGGAAAAAGTACCCAAAATAATTCCAACTTTACCCGCTCTTTCAAAAATAATCTCACCTTTCACTGTGATGCATAATAATCCCAACTTTACTAAAATTTGCCAGTTTTGGATCGCCGTTAAGTTTCTAATGCAGGGTTAACAGAAATGCCCGTTTTAGGCAACAAAATGAAAGTTGGGATTATTTTTTATGAATTTTCATTTTTTTTAATTTTTCATTTAAATTTTTTAAATTACTTTCTACCTCCATCATCATTTCTTTTTCCTTTTTTAAAGATTAGTCTTAGTTTAAAAAAATAAAAATAATAGATATGAAAAATGAAAAAATGAGAAATGTAACTAAAATGATACAAAAATAATAAAATAAATAAGGTAATCAATGGAAAAAATTGAACATTTCCTTATTGAACAATACAAAAATAATAAAATAAATAATAAAATTGTGAAAAAATTGAACAATACTTTATTTCAGAATGAACATTTCCTTATTTGAGAATGAGTATTGTTTTTTTAAGAATGAACACTACGCTATTTATTATAATTATATTAGACAAATATGTAAAAATGAGTACTTTATTTTAAAATGAGTACTACCTTTGTCAGAATAAGTATTACGTATTTCGAAATGAATGTTTTTATTTGTACGAGAATGAGTACTACTTTATTTCAGAATGAGTACTACCGGGATGTACCTATTTTTAGGTACATCCGGATGTACCATATACAAACTCCATTCTTACACAATTATTTTATATAATTATTTTATACAATTATTTTAAATAAAGTAGTACTCATTCTCACACAATTATTTTATACAATTATAATATTCATCTTCAAATAATATAGTGTTCATTCTAAAACAAAATGGTACCCATTCTCAAATAAAGTAGTGTTCAAACACAATTAAAGTACCGTCTTCTTCTTCTCCCTCACCTAAAAACCGGAGCAAGCTTTCGAGAGCTATTGGTAATCGGTGACGTCTCAGAAAGCGATTTCGAAAGTTCCGCCACCACTGCCGACGTAAGTTCCCCATGAACCATTCGATCTACTGTACCATCACTTTCCCCATTATCACATCACCATCACTATCTCCACCATCATCTTCACCATCACCTTCGCATATCTGCTCCCCGCTGCTCTGTACTGCCTTCTTTTTCCGATCAAACGCACCTAGGGTTTGACTCGATCGCGCTCCACTTGATCGCAAATTTCCGCCGGCTATACGTTTCTTAATTCCCGTACAGCCGACTGTACAATATAATTTGCGATCTTGCAGCAATACGTGATCCGAGTGTAAGCGGCAAATTATATCATACATCCTGTTGTAACTAGAATTGGGTACAACCAGCTAATTAGGGAAGAACAATTAATGGAACGGAAGCCGCTAGAGTTGAAGCCGCTCCTCTGTTTGCCGGATCGGGCCGCCGGAGACGAAAGACATGGAGCAGCGAAGACGAAGACGGTGGAGCAGCGAGGATGACAAGGAGTGATGGTGGAGAAAATCCGTTGAAAACAATAGAGAAGGAAGATCGAGCGGCGAAGGTTGCCGCTGCTTTACAGACAGAGGTTGACGAAGAAGAAAGGCGGTAGATGGGAGGAGAGGCCTCGGATGAAAACACTAGTCGGGTGGAAGCTAGGAGAAAGGTTATTTATGGTATGAGTTTTATTTTATTTGAGAATAAGCATTATGTTATTTGAGAATGAGTACTATTTTAATTTAGAACGAAGATTATGTTATTTGTGGATGAATATTATAATTGTAATGAATAAATGTGTGAAAATGAGTACTACGGAGTGCATTATTTCAGAATGAGTATTACGTTATTTTAGAATGAGTACCACGCTAATTCTAAATAAGAAGTTATGTTTGTGCGAGAATGAGTACTACTCTACTTCAAAATGAGTACTGCCCCGGATGTACCTATTTCTAGGTACATCTCATTGTACCATATACCTTCCCAGTGTAAGCAAGTTGAAAAAGGCAAATTATATTATACATCCGGTTGTACCCAATTTTGGGTACAATCAAGAAATTATTTATGGTATCAATATCAATATCAATATCAATACTATTCTTAAAAGCAGGGGAAATTGTCCCAGCCATTTTCCCGCCCAAACGCACACGCATTGTGATCTGTCGATTAGCATCAACATCTTCATCAGCGGATGTTATTGGTCTTTGAAAATAAATCAACGTCTCCATATATAATTGTGCGATCATCAAATAGTAAGAATAAAAATAACATTTTCATATATAATTGTGCTTTCAATATATAATGATTACCTTATATATAGCTTTTGTATAATATTAATTTAATCATGTAAAAAGTTTTATACTCCGTAACTTTTAAAAACTGTACCCTTGAGCTTTACGGTAATATTAGTACCACATCGTATGTTCATATATAGTTACACAATAATATAATATGTATAAACATTATTTATTGTTCATATATAAAATTTTGGGAAAAAGACTAAAGTAGTTAAGTAGTAAAACATTGAAAATATACCAAAATAGGACTTCCACGTTTTGATTCCCGAAATAGGAGTTAAAATGAATTTACATTAACAAACGTGGCCATGCACATTACCAAAAAGTATAGTAATGTGCACGTGTCAGGGAGATCGAATATATGCGTAGATCAGATGTTCGAATAAATGGGTTTTCAAAGATAAATTGAAAGAAGATAGTGTTTATTTACGGATGAGAGTCAAAGTACGATGCAATTACCAAACAATGAAAACTACCAACCACCATTTTATTCTTCAATTCTTTGGAAAGACGAAACTTCAAAAGATTTTACGAAACGGATTCCCAAATTTTTGTTACAAATTTATGGGATTTGAAAAAATTCACATATTGACTTTTGGTAACAATGTGCTATTAATTGATAAGCCCCACTTAGATTATTATTATTATTACTATTATTATTATTTAACTTTCTTATTCATATTTATAATGTATATATAATACCTCTGTCTTTTATTTCGGTACATGCAAATGTAATTAGAAAAGTTGTTAGTTGAAACTCACCGAAAACCTGTGTGGTAATGTAATACCCCGTATTTAGATGGGAATTGGAAGAGCTCAAAAGGATTGATAGTACTACTCATACCAACAAGGTGCATCTTATTTTCGAGAGCTCATCACCTAGAAACTCTAAGGTTTAGCGTGCTTGACCTGGAGCAATTCTAGGATGGGTGACCCCTTGAGAAGTTTCCTTGGGTGCGCACGAGTGAGAACTACAAAGTGCGCGGGAAAGACTTGTGTTGGTTT